TCCTTAATCGAATCCTTAAAAAAAGAAAAAGAAAGAAATCGGTTAGAGAGACCATTGTTGCATCCTGCAATTGCGATGCAATTGGCTTCTCATCGCGCCCCGCCCCTACATCGCGATTGTCGCGTCAGTTTGCATCGACTTTAAGTTCACTCGATGTGGCAAATACATAACGACCCCCCCGTGTTCGTCTCCTATTACTCCATTTTCATGCGTAATGTTGTTATTGCTACGCCCGACGATGGCATACTGGGGTATAATTTCCCTTCGATCGCTACATCCCGACGTACATTTCACAAGGCGCATTACATTCTTGGGATCTCAATGTATTCAAAGAGTATACGATGCATCTTTCTCTCTCTCTCTCTCTCTCTCTGCATATTAAATTTCCATTACGCTACATTTGATTTTTTCATCTGCAGTATATAGAAATGATAATGATAGTAAGTAATCGACGAAATTGGGCTCTCAATTTTTTTTCCATTTTTAAAATAATTCAATTCTTCCTCGGTTCTTTAGTAACTCTTCGACAATAAGTTCAAAGAAAATCCGTGCGCAGATTCTTTTGTGAGAAGATTTAAAGAACCACTCTTGAGATTGCTTCCAAACAACAATTTTACTCGGTACTTTTGTAAATCTATAATAAGATTGTAGAGAAAAGTGACAGATATTTTGATTATTTCTCAAGATTTTCATGAATCTGAATTCAGATTTGGAAAAAAATATTTTATTATAATGTAAAAGCATCATCTGTACCTCGGTAATTCAACGTATCTGGCAGCACGAGAAAAATTGATTGTACGTTCTGAAAGAGACTAGAACGCGCCGCCGGATAACGAGTTTACAAATATTTCCTCGCAAATTAATACGCGGGAGATTATTTCTGCGTTTCAGAGTAAAAAAAAAAAAAGAGTAAGGAAATATTAAAAGTACACACAAACAATGTTCCGTTGAAACATCGACTCGCGGGGTTCGGATCCTAATTAGCGATAAAAACAAAGAAAAAAGATCGCTTTTCAACGGCGAAATCTCCAACTTAGTCCGTTGCCTTATACAGGATAACCGGCGGGATTCAATATAAACGAAAGTGAAGTAAGCTCGGAACGCGAAGTAGTATTCGCGTGTTTTCGATTGGTCCTCCTTTTTTGTTCGAAACTTTTAAACCCCACTCTCTCTCTCTCTTTCCTTTTTTTTATCCAAAAGTATCAGCGCACCCATAATTAACGCGTGGAAAGAATAGATGAGAGAGGAGAGTAATTCCTAACTCCGCGGGGAGGAGTCGCATCGCGATATACATATATTCATCCGCACTGTCGCTCTGCCAGCTGACTACGGTCCACTGTTTGTCACCCGAGGGAGAGAGGCGGGAAAGGAGAAGTCCATGCTCTCTCTCGTGCATCGCACTTCTTCCTCCGCGTGTCTCCTTTCTCTTCCAGTCTCTCTGTCTCCCTCTTTCTCTCTCCATCGCTCTCCAGTTTCCAAATTTTGCCCCGTGTCCCCTTATCCCGCCGCCTCCTTGCCACGTCGCCGACATCGGAATGCGCTTTTCCACCTTGTTCGTCGCTTTCACCTCTCTTCCTCTCCGGCCGTCTCTATTTCTCTTTAGTAGCGCGTTCTCCCTTGGCGCGCGTTTCCCTCTACATTCTCCTCTATGTCCTCTCTGCATCCGTTTGTGATCTTGCACCGCTCTCTGTCCCCTTTATCCCTCCGCTGTCGTCCGTTTACGTTTCCAAGCGCACGGGCAGCTTCTCCCCATTTCCCATGTATTTTTGGATGCAGCGCCGCGGAAACGGTTCAACGACCCCCCTTAGTCTCCGAATTGGAACGTACGTACATAGGTACGTACATGCGTCCCCGTGCACCGACGGTGGAAACGTGGAAAATTCTGATTGATCGTCGTCGTACATCGTACGACGAGCACTCGGGGCGACACTACGACTACCTTACCCCCCTCTAACGAGTCGTCGGATACGCTTTCGGCTCTTTCTGCTTTACAGCCCGAGAAACAGTCCCGCGACCAAATGGCGCGGAGTGCATCAAAGTATAAGTACATTGCTAGAGTTCTACGACTAGAGAGAGATAGAGAGAGAGAGAGAGAGAGTGCTGCCAGAGTATATATTCACGTTTCAAATGTTTTTACCCTCTTTTCGAATCGCGTTCGCATATATAACGTACGAAATACGAATTATCATTACAAACGGTGTTATCTTAGTAGTATCGGATAGATTAAATTCGAATACCCGTCATGCGCTTAAATCAAGATTTATGATCATCTCAGCGCGAGTATGCCGCAGTACAGTTACATATGAATCACGCGCGAGCGTGTTAAATCGCAAATTAAAATTGTCGTTACTGTCGCTCGACGTACTCCGATCGTTTCGTATAGATATAATAATTTTGCAAACGGACGCGAGCGAATTTTACCCTTTTGTCATTATCCGCAGATTGATATCGCTGATCGACAAAAACATTTCCGACACGCGTACACGCTTTCTATAACTCTCGCGCAACATTATCGTCGCGGTTATCGAACGCATCGATGCGCGCTCGATCTCTTCGCGGATATACGAGGACGGCCCTTTGATCGTCGTGGAAATAGGGGTAGGGGATGTGGGGGAGAGGGGCAAGAAAGTGGGCAGGCAGCAGCGGAGCAGCGTTGTAAAGCGTTGAACGCTTCAGAGGCAAAGCGCGGAAAATTAAAACGGACCACAGAGAGGAACGAGTTAGGTCGTTTTCCACCTCCTTTCCGCCTTCGGCTTTTCCATTCGCAGCCTTTATCATCCACCTCCCTACTTCACCACTCTACCCCCCCCCCCCCCCCCCTC